TATTAATAAACAAAATAAAAATTATGATATTTTTACCAAATAAAGTCTTAACTTAAACTATATACAAATATTATTATTCTTTTTTTTTTATCCTATTCCCATTCGCAGTTTATGTTTAATAGTAATTTACGTAAGGATTTTATGTCTTAAATTTTATATTTTAAATTTTTGATTAATATTATGTATTGTTCAGAGTAAAATAATAGATTAAAAGGAAAAAATTTCTTAGCAGATTCTATTTCCTCTTTACATACATTTTAATTTCAATGCTTAAAAAGAATTTAAGTAAAGATTATTTCAGAGAAACTATGCAGAGATGTGATGTCTTTATATGAAAAATTTTCTATTTTCTAAAATATGCAATATTTAAAGCATTCACTTGAAGATATACTAAGTGTTATCTTTATAGACTTAAGAAACATAGACACAAAATTTGGTTTTCTTGGGCGAAAAAAATTAGAGATACTGATCTGAAAAATGTATCATTTATTTTTAAAATTTGAGACTTGAAGCAATTCAATAAAATTGATCTGCCTAACGAAACTGCATTTCCCTTTAAACAAAATTTCAATTGAAGTTTAGGCCTTTAAATGCCCAAGTAATTTGTGTTTGCTTGTCATGGCTGCCTCAAGTTTGTTGCTCGATTAGTCATGTGGCAAGTTGCCCATGGTGTTGCATGATAGAGTTGCGTAAGGCCCGCATAGACATAATTGAGAGCGACTGAATCGTGCAAATAGCGGCGACTGCACACACTCACACTACACTCACAATCATTTACTCCCACACTCACACACACAGACTCAGAATTAACCATGTGATTATGGGGCACAAGTGAACAGAACTGGGTGCAATATGAACAATTAAGGCAAACACAGCCCACATGTGCACCTAAAGTGCGTACGTAAATCATGAAGATGTGGATTTTGGGGCAACTTAATTTATGCCTGCCTCGTCCTACGCCAAGCCCAGCAATGGTGAGCTTGCTGCCTGGGCCTCGACTCTGTCAGCAGGCTTTAGTCCATGCTCGCTGCTCGCTCGACTGTTTGACCACGCTCGCTTATTCGGCATTATATTAGTCCGACTGGCAGAAGGCTCTCTCATATCAGGTGAATAAATTTGCCAGCACTGACATATTGAGGGCCCAGCAGGAGCAGCAGCAGCAGCAGCGGCAGGAGCAGCAGGAGTAACAGGACCTCTGTACCTGCCAGCAACCTAAATGTGTTACATAAATTGGAATCTGATGCGGGCTAAATCTAATTTGTGACTAACAACTCAAGAGAGAGCATAAACAGATGCAGTGCATGTGCTCACTGTGCTAAAAGCACATTAAGATTAGCACAATAACTAAATTGGCTGTCGAGCAGAAACCTAAATCAGACTTTTAAGAAGGTTTGCAGGTATGAGCAGATGTATTGTAGAGTTACTGAAAACGTTGGAAATATATTCATATATCTATTGCCATCTATAAGATTCTCGATTCAGCTTAACTTGTAATTTCTATGAAATTAATTAAAATGTGTAATTCATAGAATAGCCATATATGTCCCTTTGGCACAGGATATTCTCCAACGCATTGTTCTCAAACTCCTTCACTCATTCCAAGGGCAACAGCTGCTGCTGCCAGAGCATATGCAAATTTGCACTCAGTCTAATTAAACAGAATATGCTATACATAATTTAATATACATTAGAATCTTGAGCTTGCAGATAACCACATGAAGGCCATAAACCATTTCCTGCTACGGTTAATTAAAATTGTAGTTTGCTATATTGCTCATACGACGTGGTAGCCGCAGCCTGACAAAGCTCAGCAAATATTGAAACTAGAATGCTTATAAAACATTCATTTGTTTGTCTTTCAGTCTCTAGTCAAATCTCAGTCAGATTGAGTTGCTCTTTGAGTCAAATGCAATTATTGCGAAATTAACTAAGCGCTTAAGTGCTTAGCTTAATTATTAGCCATCTATCTTTGGAATAAATATAATTAACAGAGTCGTCCGTCCAAAGAGGTCAGCGGTAAGCCGGCTATAATAGACAAATGGCTGGTGCACAAAACAAATATACTCTGCTCGCTTCACTCCATGGGCGAGTGCTAAAAGAGAAATGCGCAGATTAAGACATTTCTCATACAAATCCTCGGTACAGCCATGGCCAAGGACATTGTTCATGTCTTCTATCTGGCTTTAATGCTCTGAATGCAATGATTGTTCATTGTTGGCGCGACAATTGTCGTTAAGCGGTTTGCAATTTGCAGCGACTGAAGCCAGACAAGCTGGAATAAACAAACAGGCAGTCAACCCGAACAAGAGAGAGAGAGACATGAACTACATACATAAATATTGTATATATATAAACGTATATATATGTATTTGGTTAGAGTGTAATATTTTACTGGCTCTTTGAGCAGCGCAGCTCAAAGTGTTTTGCTATTGTCATTGATTTAATCAATTCTGTAAATACGAACTGTCAATTTTATATTGCCTTTACACTTGATTTAACGGCAAGCATATAATTGCTGGCGAATGCAGCAAAATAATTCATAATTTGCTTTAACAAATATGCTGCATATTTACGCAAAATGTATTTTCGAAATTCCGATAATTTGCATACATTAAACTTTGCTTCGCATAAATGACTCTAAATAATTTTTACATCTTACTTAAATGTTAAGCGCAGCATAACATTTAAGCTTTTAAAAGTTGTTAAATAGCTCAGCTGGCACTTACAAATTATTGCCGAGTAGTGCAAACATTTATCTGGTATTTATATTTGGCGAGGCAGATACCCAGCAGTTCTATAAAAATTAGTGAATTTACATAAATAATGCCTATATATAAGGATAATAAATTGGCTTCTTGTCTTTGCAAGGATTACTCAAAGCATATTCATAAATTATACTATATATAAGAAGATGTATAATTAATTGACTTTTTGTTTATATTTTATCTCTATACATCAGTTACTAAATATATAAGAAAAAGAATAATGAACTGACTATTTGCTTATGCAGAGACAACTCCTCAATATTTATTAAAATAAGCAACTTTTTTTTTTAGATAATTACAATAAATACTAGAAATGTAGACATTTTAGGAGGTTTACTCATATATAAAATACATAATATATAAGAAGTATAGTGACTTCTTGTCTATGCCCTAAATACAATTATAGCTGTATAGTATATGTATTAGTATTACCCCTTTCCATTGTAAGTATAAAGATGCTCTTACTTCCCCTACAATCTTGGGCTAGTTTCCTTTCAGATCTCTTCCGTCGGACTCTGTATAATGGGGCGCACTCTTCTCGTTTATCGATATCATAGCGAAGTATCTCAGCAGGCCTCTCGCTTTCACTCAGCAACACCCAGGACTACGCTCAGCAACAGTTATATAGTCGTCTCTCTCTCTCGCTCACAGACGCGACTGTCCCTAAAATGCCAACTCATTAGTTTAGTCTAGTAACTAAAACAGCATCAGGTTTTTATATATCCTCGCATTATTTATTATTGCATTAATTCATTATTTACATCCTCAGTAACTCTCAGAACTCTGAGTTACTGCCGTTAAATGGCATTAAAATATATTTATATTTTAATGGGTCTCTTTTCGGGTCTGTAATGAATTTTTGGTCAAGTTGTGACTTTGCTTTTTAATTCAGTCACCCTAATTCATTTTAGTGTCCTTTTTAGCTGCGGCCGCAGCAGCAGCAGCAGCAGGAGTTGTAATTTCTGTACCTGCCATTACCACCTAATCCTGTGGCAGTGTCCTTCCCTTGCACCGCTGCTTTTAATTATCTTTTATTTAATGGGCCTCCATTTTGTTTGTGCTTTTAGATTTTCTCATTTTGTGACGCACAATTAAATAACAATTTGTCGAAAAGTTGTGGCTATTTACAGCATTTTATACACTCTACCAGGGTATTTAAATTTTATTAAAATAGATGAGAACTCATCTTGATAAGTAATGCCTCGGATGTGTGGTGGCCTTAAAGCTAGATTTCTTGATCTCTTTGCTGCGTGCTTGGTTCAAGAAAGTCGTCTAGAGCATAATTTGAATTTAATTGGCAATCAGACGAGCAGCTAATAAAGGGTATTTGCGTATGTCTGAGTGCCATGCATGCCAAGCTGGCCACGCTTGGCTCGTAAAGGCAATGACTTTTTAATAGACCTGCCTATTTTTGTCTCTTGACTCTTGTGTCTTACTGCCTGGACAGCATGACTAAGAGATTCTTGGACTTAATTTTATGTGAACTTTAATTAGCTTTTTTTTCTTGCTGTCGATCAAATGGTTGCCATAGCAATCCTGACAATCCTGGCCACAGCGGGAGAGTAGAGACTAGCTCAACTAAAGTTATTTCGAAATTTGCACAATATTTGGTTTTTGCTCTCAATTAATCAGTGCATTCGTGCATACCTGCTGAGCAGGGGAGAGCACATTTTTCCTAGCATGTTCACAGCGGCAACTTCTGGCAGTATGTTGACACAGTTTTTTCCCTTCTCCTGCGGCTAGCCAGTCTTGTGGTGCGCTCTGCAGCACATGTTGAACAAATGACAACAATGTGAACAGCGGCTGTTAGCTCCCATGCCATGCGAGTTGTTTTGTTGCCCGCCGTTTCTTGTTAGTGCCGGCATATGTATAAAGTCTGAAACTCACACAAACATTCACACTTTGCATGTGTGTGTGTGTGTGTGTGTGTGTGTGGGTGTGTTTGTGTGTGTGAGTAGTTAAAAGTCGTCTGTTGCAGTTTATTTTCTCTTGCCAGAGATTCGCATGCCATATTTGCTTTCCACTTTGACATACGCAAACATTTTTTTTCTTTTGGCATTTTTGTTTGCCTCAAATTCTAAACTTTGCTGCTTTGTTATTACTGCCGCATGGAATGCAGTTTGTATCATTTTCTAAGCAGTCGAGGCGTATGTTGCTCCTGCTTATGCTTCGCCTGGCATCGAGCGTAATTTATATCATTCCTCAATCTCTTTTACAGAGCGCTACACAGCAAGCAATCTGAGAGATGCTAGATTTTCATACCTTGAACCCATTGAAAATGAAAAATCAGTGCATATATATATATATATATATTTTTTTTTTGTTTGTTTTT